TTCCTTCCTTCCTTCCTTCCTTCCTTCCTTCCTTCCTTCCTTCCTTCTTTCTTTCTTTCTTTCTTTCTTTCTTTCTTTCTTTCTTTCTTTCTTTCTTTCTTTCTTTCTTTCTTTTTCTCTCTCTTTCTCCCTCTCTCCCTTTCTCTTTCTATCTTTCTCCCCTCTTTCTCTCTTCCTCTTTCTTTCTCCTTCTCTCTTTGTCTCTGTCTCTTTGTCCCATCTTTCTCTCTCTCTCTTTCTCCATGCTTCAAAACTAATTCAAAAGACAGAAAAAATTGCCTCTTTTTGTGAGCCTGAAATAAAGTTGAGCCTTCTTTAAGAGTCTCGTCAACTTCAGTGAGTCAAATACTTTCTCCTTTCTACATGCAGTTTTCAAGAGCAAGACAACCAACAGGGGAAGTGATGTAGAGAAAGCTCTAATTACAGCTTGCCACAAATAGACTTAAAATAAAACAGAAAAGTAGTCTTCAATTAGGTTTAAAACAGTAGGGGAGGGGTGGAAATCACAGGAGCGCTTTTACCTTCTTTGCCACTTCTGCTAATAAAAATGTTTTTCCGGTGCATGGCCCTCCATAGACAATAAGAGGATTAATGTGGCCCATTTTCTTAGGCAGGAGGTATTTGCGCATGATAGTTCTGGCCTCACATCTATATTCATAGAAGGAAGAGTAGGTTCTACACAGAGAGGAATGTTGCAGGACTTCATCATAAATCCAGTCTGTCTCTATGTCGAAATTCTGTTGGACTGTTGCTTGGATGATGTCTATCATGTCTTCGTAGAACTGTTTGCCAAGACCGTCAATGTAGTGGCTCTCCACTTCTTGGGTGTAACCGTACTTGATGTCACAATGGGTAACGGAAGTGTAGACTCTCAAGTTGGAAGAAGCCACAATGGTAGGTACAAATTCGTCCCTGAGTCGGATGAGTTTCTCAAGTGCTTCCGGATCCCTCAGAAACTTCCCACCTCCGCGAAGCACGTCCATGTATTTCTCCATCTCGGGATTTTTCACAAAACGTTCGATGTTGGCAATCTTCCGGATGTAGCAAACGCACTTCTTTAAAAAAGCCGGGGTTTGTTTTCCTAAGGCAAAATCGAATTCGTCTTCGATAGCTGGGAGGAAGAGAAAAGAAGAAGAGGACATCTAAAGATGGTGGAGGATAAAGTCAAACCGGCTGCACGGAATCCTAATTTACTAGGCCATATCAAAGATTTTTGGGGGTTTTTTTTGTCCAAGAGGCAACTGGACTTTCTGGTTTTTCTTTAAAGACATTTCGCTTCTCATCTAAGAAGCTTTTTCAGCTCTGACAGGATGGTGGAGAAGTTCTTGTGGTTGGCTGAAATTCTGGGAGTTGAAGCCCATCCATCTTAAATGTCTGGAGAGATTCTCAGTCCTCCAAGTCATGGTTGTCCCAAAGGTGGTTTTTCAAGAGGCAACTGGACTTCCTTGTTTTTATCTGAAGACATTTCACTTCTCATCCAAGAAGCTTCTTCAGTTCTGACTGGATGGTGGGGAATGGAAGGACTTATACTCCTTGCAGACAGCTGGTCATTGGCATCCTTTTAGCAAGTCGTTGAGGGCACTTGGAGGTTTGTCTGTGTCCTCAGTGTCACCTGAATAGTACAAATGAATGTGGAGCCTTCTTGGAACAGCTGCAAGGACTGTAGACTACAGATAGATGACAGCTGAAGAAGCTTCTTGGGTGAGAAGTCTTTGAAGAAAAAACAGAAAGTCCAGTTGCTTCTTGAAAAGCACCTTTGGGACAATCATGATTTGGATGACTGAGAATCTCCACAGACATTTAGGCCGTATCAAGTTCTATCAAGTTCTTTTATTTGTTTTCCCATATTCTATTCTTGGGCCCAGGAAGATAAAACCAGTTATGGTCTGTATAGGTAGTCCTTGACTTACAGCCATTCATTTAGGGACCTTTCAAACTTACAACAGCCCTGGAGAAAGTGACTTATGACCATTTTTCACACTTATGACCCCATTCCCATGATCACGTGATCAAAACTCAAGATGTTTGGTGACTGATTCACATTTATGTCCTGGGGTCACATGTGATTTCCCTTTGGTGATCTTCCAACAAGCGAAATCAATGGTCAAGCCAGATTCACTTAGCCACAATGTTAGCAGCTTAACAACTACAGTGGTTTGCTGAGCAACAGTGGCAAGAAAGGTCACACAATTAAGTATCGTACTTTATGATTCTTGACTCTTGACGAATGTATCTTTTCTTTTATGTATACTGAGAGTATTTACACTAAGACAAATTCCTTGTGTGTCCAACCACACTTGGCCAATAAAGTATTCTACATTCTACAGTGAGGCCAAACTCACTTTAACAAACATCTGACTCAGCCCACAAAATTGTGAGGCTCTATCAGAGCTGAAGGAACTTCTGAGATGAGAAGGGAAACATCTTCAAAGAAAAAGCAGAAAGTCCGGTGGCCTCTTGAAAAAAAAATAAAGTACCATGGGGATAGTTTTTATTGTGGTCGCAAGTCGAGGACTACTGTGATGACCTGAGGCATGGCACAAAGACAACCCAGCCAGATAATAAGCAGGGGTCCCTTTATTAGCTCCAACTTTGCCCCCAATGTCCCGGTTATCTTCCGGTTTGGAGAAAAACTCTCCCAGGAACCTGCAACAGCCCTTGGCTGCAGATATTCTTAGTCCAAAATGTTGTAAACAGAAAACTTTGAACTATAAATCCAACAAAGCAAGATAAGGCAATAAATCCGGCAGGGCATGATAAGGAGTTCCAGAAGTGAAGTAACAAGGGAGTAAATCAAACCAGTTGGGAGGATTCCAGGAACGCAGCTAACAGCAGCCAACATTTAGATAAACTCAATGTTTGTTCTGGGCAAACGCAGCTTGCAACTGCCTCTCCTTTAAACTCCCTCCCCAGGTGTGCCTTGTGAAGGGAATCAGGGCCCTCTCCTCCCTCGTAAGCCATGCAACCCACGTTACTCTCTTCTCTGTTCTTCCCTGCGTGCCCTAGGGTGAAGAGGGGGGGGTGGGCCTTGGTCTTCCTGAGCTCCCTCTCCCTTGTTCTATCTCTCTCCTGCTCTGCCCAGCCCCAGTTTCATCCACAGCTAACGGAGCCACTCTCCCACTCCCTGACAACTGTTCCTCTTCCTCCTCGGAGTCAGACTCCGACGGGGGCATCACAGCTACTTGTACAGTGCCTTTTCTATATCTTCATCATTTCAGGAGCGTGGCTGAAGAGACCCAATTTAGGAACAATAATACCTGCGATGAAGAATTGCATGCCATTAGTGGCTACGATTCGTATCAAAGGAAATTTATTTCCTTTTGTTTTGCGCATACTTCCCTGATCAGGTGCAATCCTATCTCAGCATTTATCTGTCTATGCACTGTGCCTGGATTTCATGTTTACCAGAGGAAAGATATCTCTTTGCTTGACTGTGTTTCATTTTCCCCTTTTCATACAGTATCTTCACGGCTGTCTTAAACATCACCTTAATTTCTTCTGATATCTCCTGCCATTTGCTCTCACTGACAGGGTTGCAAGAGGCTTCCATCTTTAAAGCAACAAAAAGGAAAAAAAAAAGGAAAGATCAGTGCCAATGGTTTAGACAATTGCAAAAAGCAGACTCAAGGCCACGTTAATAAAATTAACATGGCAGGTTTTATGCATTTAATACATTTATTTATTAAATTTATCTGCCACCCTTCTGCTTTCAGGAAAAAAAAAAATCCTTCAGGAACGATATGCACAAATCTGAAGGAAGGAATATTTATTTTTAAGTGGTGTATGTATAATTCAAGATAAGTGAGCCTTATTAAGATAACTGATCTCAAAACTGATCAATCAGAATAGAGCTGGAAGGTTTTCTAGTCCAATCCCCTTGGAAAGGTAATTGAGGGCCACATCAGGTTTGTGTTTCATATCAGGGGGCCGGCGTGACAGTGGGCATGGTTGAGGGGGGGGGGGTGGCAGCCAGCTTGACGTCACTCATCGAGGCTCTATTTTCGGCTGTGACAGCTTCCTGCAGCCCTCTGCCAGTGAAAACGGAGCTCGGGGGGGTGCCATGCACAGCCTTCCCAAGCTCTGTTTCTGCTGGCAGAGGGCTGCAGGAAGCCATCACAGCCAAAAACAGAGCCCGGGGGGGGGGGGGGGGGCACATGTGGCCCTTCCAAGCTCCATTTTAATTGGCAGTGGCACCGCAGGCCAGTTCTTCACTGTATCCAGGGCAGCCCCATGGGCCAGATCTAAGCACCTCGCCAGCTAGGTTTGTGCGAATCGGATGTTAATTTTACACCTGGTTCGCCAAACGGGTAGTTGCAACAACTGGCTGGCCCTGCCCACCCCTCCCCTCCCAAGAGTCTCCACACAGCCCGTTTTGCATCCCAGGTAAGCGCAGGGCCCGTGCAAAGGCCCGGGGAGGTTGTTTTCACCCTCCTGGAGGTTTGAGGAAAGACTCCGGAGCCCAAGTAGGGTAAAAATGCCAGCCCCCCTGCCATGGTGCAGGAGGCAGACTAGGCCACACCCACCCAGCAACTGGGCAGAGAACCAGTTGCTAAATCTTTTGAAGCCCACTCCTGCTTGGAGGTGTCCTAGTCCAACCCCCTGCTCAAGCATGCGCACACAACCCCCCACCGCATTGCAAGCCTTTGCACATGTGTACGCAACCCCCCTCACATGCCGCATATCTCTGCACATGCACGGTAGATAGCCAACAATCAGCTGGCTGGCAGGGGGGGGGGCGTGCATCCATGCGCAGTAAGGCTCTTCTGGGCAACCTCTCACATGCTGGCAGAAGTGGCTCTGCGTGCCACTTCTGGAACGTATGCCATAGGTTCGCCATCATGGCCCTATCAATTTGAATCCCACCACTGGCTGGAAGGAACCTTGGAGGTCGTCTAATCCAGCCCCCTGCTCAATCAGGACACCATATACCATCTCAGACAAGTTACTGTGTCCAGTTTCTTCTTAAAAATCTCCAGGGATGAAGCACCCACAACTTCTGATGGCAAGCTGATATAAGTGATAAGTCCACTGTAAGATAAGTGAGCAATATTAAGGTAAGCGCTCTCAATGCAGCCAAGATAAAAGTTTGCCATTTTAATTGGGGAGCAACCAAACTAACACATTTTTATCTTTGCTGCATGGTTTGCGGGAGCATAAATTTTTGATAATAGGTAAGAAACTGTACAGCACATATTCAGAATACAGGGAGACTCATAGAGGTGAGCTATACAAAGGAATGAGCTATACGAAGATCACCTGCAAAAAAAAAAAAGATTAGGCAAAAATGATCTGCTGTTCCAGAAATAAATGCATCAGGCTCTAATTGCAGAAAAAGTAGGTGGGGTTGCAAAAATCACACATTTTTTATTATTTACTTTTACAGCGGTAGCCCTAAGGCAAAGCATATTTCCGCTTCAGAGAACAGGGTGTGACTGCAACTGATTCTTGTTTTGTTGAAAGGAAAAAAAAACACCTTCATTTGTACACACAAATCCGAAGGACAATTTTTAAAAATTGTGTGCTTATTCAAAGTTGTTACTCTGGTGTACCCATGGGGTGAAAAACGCTATTAAAAAGTAAGGGTGGGTTTCAGTAAAATACCTCACTAAGAATAACTGAAGATCACTTGACTGAGATGTGGTAAAATAAAAATACAATAACTAAATAAAAATAAAATAAATAAAAACAACACGATAAAAGTTTCTTTTTTAATAAAATATTTATTACTTTTGGAAGACTCCTAAATGATTTTGGGCACTTTACATAGTTAAAAGTGGGAGGAGAATAGACAAACGATTAGCAATTAGAGAAAAGGGTATGTTTTCTCGAGTTTGGCTCATGAATCATGATTTAATTAGGGCGATTGCTGGAATCCTGACAGCATGTACATGGATTATATGGGTACTCCTTGACTTATGACCACAGCTGAGCAGTGGTGAGCAGCAACTGGTTTAACAACTGGTTTTGTGAGCGTGTGCTTCGTATGCGCACACATGCTTCACTCATGTGTGCACGCGCACAATAAACACCAATTTCTTCCCCGGTTGTTGTGGTCCGCCAAAAGCCTGTGGAGATGGCAGCAGAATTGGACAGTGGGGAAGAACATGGGCCAGTCCAGGAGTCTGGGGAGGACTCAGACAATGGTCCTGCGTCCGATACAGAGATGGGCCAAGACCATCTGGGAGTTATGTGTGCTGACTCCGGAGCCTCCAGAATCTGATAGCAGCGAGGCAGAGGAACAAGGGGAGCCTGTTCCCAGTGTATGTGTGTGCAGAGCTGTCAGAAGGCAAGAGCAGTTAAGACAAAAGGGGCAACTCGGGAGTAAGGCTTGGAGGTAATTGCCCCTCCCATAAGATATAAAGGAAGTGCAAGGAACCTTTGCAGGAAGCAACTTTGTTTACTCTGGTCAGTTTGGAACCTGAAAGCTCCGTGGTGAATTTGTGCTCCATTTGGTTTTGAAAGACTAACTGGTACTTTAGTCGTTGGCCACACTTCAAGAAAGATAAAGGTGCGTTCTTATCAGATTTCTCCCGAAGGACTTTGGCAGACTTCCATGGGACTATTTATAACTGGTTGAGACTCATTATGGGCTGTGAATGAAGATAATTCACAGCTGTTGAACTAAAATAAAAGGGTTTTGGATTTAACATGTGTTTGTTGGTGTCTCAGGAAGTCTTGGTCAGAACACCGGTAAGTAGACCAGCTGAGGCGCAGTAATTCACTTTGCTGCGCGAATCAGCTGGGCTGCAAAAGAGGGAAATGTAAGACAGGATAGGGTGGGGCCAGGTGGGTGGGGCCAACTGATTGTCATTTGTACCAGTTTGCTAGAACCGGTCCAAACTGGCAGCAGCCGACCACTGGAACTGAGCTCAGAATTTCTGTTGAAAGTTAGAATATTTTGGTCATGAGATGTGACACCTGGAAAAATATGGAAGACTTCACTTAATCCTCTAAGAAAAGATTGAAGGCCAATGAGGTCCAGGCAAGAAGAAGAACATCATGGCTTCAAAATCTAAGGGTCTGGTTTGGACAAAACTCTGCAGCCCTTTTTTGTGCAGCTGTTGATCAAAATAGGATCGTCAACATGATCACCAACGTCCGATGACGGATATGGTACAACAACAAGAAGAAGTTTAATGAAAAGAAGGACCTGGGGTGACATAGTAGCAGTGTTCCAATAACTCAAGGGCTGCCACAAAGAAGAGGGAGTCAAGCTATTCTCCAAAGAAGCAACGGATGGAAACTAATTGAGGAGAGAACCAACCTAGAATGAAGAAGTTTCTTGACAGTAAAAAAATTAACCAGTGGAACAACTTGCCAGTGGAAGTTGTGGGTGCTCTAACACTGGGAATTTTTAAGAAGAGATTGGTCAACCATTTGTCTGAAATAGTATAGGATTTCCTGCCTAAGCAGGGGATTGGACTAGAAGACCTCCAAGGTCCCTTCCAACTCTGTTATCCTATTCTATTTTTCACATTTATGACCATTGCAACATCCCCATGGCCATGTGATTTACATTCAGAGGCTTGGCAACCGACTCGTATTTATGATGGTTGCACTGTCTTGTGGGTCACGTGCAAGGGTGGGATTCAAATTTCTTAACAACTGGTTCTGTGGGCGTGGCCTGATTTATGGGTGTGGCTTGGTGGTCATTTGACTAGTTGGGCATGGCTTGCTGACTGGGCATGGCTTGGTGGTCATATGACTGGGTGGGTATGACTTGTATGTAAATATTATAAATATTTACTTTTCTGCCATCGGCTACCTGAGTCTGTCACATAAAATTTGCTTGCCAGCAAACTCATAAAATTAGCTAGCAAGCAAACTCACAAAATTAACTCACAACATACCATGTATGTAAATATTGAATTTTTTATTTAAAAAAAGAGCAACTTTTACCCAAAATCAGGCAAAACAGGCAGGCAGATTGAGTTGCTTACAAAAACACAGATTTACTTAGAGATCTATCTTTCTGCAATCTGCTACCTGAGCCTGCACTGAAAAATAGAAGCTTCAGTCCTAAGGAAGGTCCAGCTCTGCTTTTAGATTAGCTAGAAAGCAAGAAATCCAATGATTTCTGATGGTCAGGGAAGAAAAAAAGGAAAAATAGCAACTTACCAAAAATTAGGCGAAGCACAATGCCGGCAAGTTAGAGGGTGCGCATGCCAAGTAAGGAGTGAGTAGAAGTGGTAGGGAGGGGTCGGGCCAGCCAGGGGCATGATTTACCAGTTCTCCGAACTGCACAGAATAGTAACAACCGGTTCTATAGAACTGGTCTGACCAGGTAGAATCCCACTCCTGGTCACGTGATCAACTCCCATGACCTTCTGACTAGCCAAGTCAATGCGGAAACCAGATTTGCTTAGCCGCCAAGTTTTTAATTTCACAACTGTTGAGATTCATTTCACACATGTGGAAAGAAAAGTCATAAAATGGGCAAAACTTATGGAGCAAAATTTCTCACTTAGCAATACAAATTCTGGGCTGAATCGTGGTCGTACATTAAGGACTACCTTTATGAAAATATGTGTGTGTTGTGTGCATGTACCATAGTTTATTGTACTTAAGAAGGAAAAAAAACGTACATTTCCAGTTACTTTTCCATAGAAAAATTAGACTTCGAATCTAGGGGGTATATTTTTCCTGCCCCATCTGTTTGCTTTCTGAATATTGTTTCCATGGCAACTATGGAACGTGGTTTTGCACCAACTCTTCATAAGGAAAGTTTCCATGGCAACTCTCCCATGCTGTGATTTCCTCCCCATCTCTTCCCCTCCCCAGGTCTGACAACTGAAGGACTTCTAAACATAAAACAAGAAACTTGGATGAGCAGGTGAAGGAATGACTACTTTCACTAAGCTAAGTATGTCCCAGCCTATTGAAGAGAAGAGAAGAGAATGATTAGTGAGGACATGATGATGGTCTTCCAGTACCTATGGGACACTCTAGTTTTTCCTACACCTAGGCAAGAAAAACCAAAAGGACACATATAGACTGGGTGAAACTAGGCTTAACAGCAGTAACTGTGAGAGGGATCTTGGAGTCTTAGTGGACAACCAGCTAAATAGGAGCCAGCAGTGTGCAGAAGCAGCCAAAAAAGCTAATGCAATCCTAAATTGCATTAAGAGAGGGATACAATTGAGATCAAGTGAGGTACTAATACCACTCTAGTAAGACCACACCTAGAGTACCGCATCCAGTTTTGATCACCACACTATAAAAAAGATGTTGAGGCTTTAGAAAAAAGTGCAGACAAGAGCAACCAGGATGATTAGGGGACTGAAGACTAAAACATATGAAGAACAGTTGCAGGAACTGGGTCTGGCTAGTCTAGTGAAAGAGAAGGACGAGGGGAAACATGATAGCAGTCTTCCAATATTTGAGGGGCTGCCACAGAGAGCTATTTTCAAGCTATTTTCTAAGGCACCTGAAGGCCAGACAAGGAATAATGGATGGAAACTGAACAAGGAGAGATTTATTGTGGAGAAACATTCAGACAGTGAGAACAATCAACCAATGGAACAGAAGTTGCCCTTGGAAGTTGTGGGAGCTTCATCACTGGAGACTTTCAAGAAGAGATTTTCCATCTGTCAGAAATGGTGTAGGGTCTCCCGCTTGGGTGGGGGGGTTGGACTAGATGACCTACAAGGTCCCTTCCAACTCTGATTATCTGTCATCTGTTATCTGCCCTCCTAAGCTCCATTTTCACTGTCAGAGGGTTGCAGGATGCCGTCCCAGCTGAAAACGGAGCTCAGGAGCCCATTTTCGCTGTTAGAGTGCTTGGGCCGCCCCAAGCACACCCGACACCGGTGATGTCATACTGGCCATGCCCCCCCCCCCGGTGGTCAAACACAACCCTGATTAGCGGCCCTTAATGAAATCGAGTTTGACACCCCTCTCCTAAATCAACACCCATGTGAAGAAAATTTACCATATTGGGATTGCTCTTCAGAATGTCAGGTTTCGGTTTGAGGTAATAAGTTGGGGGCACGGCATTCTCATCCCGGCAGTAGCACTCTTCCAAAATCTTGGTTTCCAGCTTTGCCTCAACAGCGGCATCCAGAATCATTTCAAATTCGGAGGATTCCACTTCCCCCGGGATCCGGATGCTTCCATATTTTTCTCCCAGAAGACCCTGTTGTGCACAACAACACAGAACAACCTTCAGGCTATTGGCAGAACTGGATAAGATATTAAGAGGAACAGAAGAAAGATTGATTTTTTAAAAAAAGCTGTATTAAAATGGAGAAAAAACAAGTGAAGGAGACAACAATAGCATGGGCAAAAAACTTTGGTTATACCAGTGATGGCGAACCTTTTTGTTGTGGTGTGCCAAAAGTGCACACATGCACGCACGCAATAGCATGCGTATGCTTGTGCTGGCACCCATAATGCAATGCGCCTCGCCCAGGGGTGGGATTCCAATTTCTTAACAACCAGTTCTGTGGGCATGACCTAATTTGTGGGTGTGGCTTGGTGGTCATGTGACTGGATGGGTATGGCTTGCTGACTGGGCGTAGCTTGGTGATCACTTGACTGGCTGGGCGTGGCTTGTATGTAAATATTGTAAATATTTATATAAATATTTATTTTTTTTATAAAAAAAGAGCAACTTTTACCCAAAATCAGGCAAAGCAGGCAGACAGATTGAGTTGCTCACAGAATCATAGATTCATTCAGAGATCTACCTTTTTGCCATCGGCTGCCTGAGTCTGCACAGAAAAATAGAAGCTTCAGTCCTAAGGAAGGTTCAGCTCTGCTTTTAGATTAGCTAGAAAGCAAGAAATCCAATGATTTCCTGCTTTCTAGGTAATCTAAATCTCCTGGCACAGGTGATGGTCAGAACAGCTGATGGTCAGAAAAAAAAAAAGGAAAAACAGCAACTTAGCAGGCAGGTAAGGAGTGACTGGGCGGGGCAGGGTGGGGCCAGCCAATGGTGCGATTTGCCGGTTCTCCAAACTGCACAGAATTGTAACAACCGGTTCTATAGAACTGGTGCGACCAGGTAGAATCCCACCCCTGGCCCCGGCCCCCCTGCATATGTGCATGCAAACACCCCGCCCCCTTACCTGCACTGCGCATGTGCATGCCTGCCAGCTGATTTTCGGCCCATTTGAGGCCGTTTTTGCCTTCCCAGAGACTTGAGGGAACCCTCAGGAGACTCCGGAGGCTGAAAATGGGCCTCTTTCAGCACTTCCGATAGGCTCCTTTTTCGGCCTCCTGAGGCTGCAGAGGCTTCTCTCGAGCCTCTTGGAGGGCAAAAATGGTCTCAAATGGGCCGAAAATCAGCTGGGAGGCGCATGCATGTGCAGTGTAGGTACGTTTGGCTGGGGCGCGCGTGCCCACACAAATGGCTCTGCATGCCACCTGTGGCACCTGTGCCATAGGTTCACCATCACGGGGTTATACAATAGAACTAGATAAATGGCAGCAATTGTGGGATAGAAACTACAAATTAACAACGTCAACTGCACATAAAGAAAACTTGTATAAGATGTTTTATAGATGGCATTTTGCGCCGGCAGTGTTGGCAAGGATGTTGAAAAATAAATCAGCTAAATGTTGGAATGCCACCAGGTACCTGGATCAGAGGTGGTATCCAGAGGTGGATCAGAACTGACCAGTTCTGGAGAACCGGTAGCGGAAAATTTGAGTAGTTCAGAGAACCGGCAAATACCACCTCTGACTGGAGATTTTACAATATCCTTCCCCTGCCACAGCCACCAAGCCACGCCCAGAGAACCGGTAGTAAAAAAAATTGAATCCCACCACTGACCTGGATCATACTATTATATGTGATGGACATGTGTAGAAGCAAAAAAAAATTAAAATTGGACAAAAATACATACATGGTTGGAAAAGATGATACAACAACATATTGACTTAAAACCTGAACTATTTTTGTTGGGGATTTTACCTGAAACTTATAGTAAAGAGAATGCATATTTAGTTATGAATGTATTAACCGCAGCTAGAATTGTATTTGCATAAAACTGGCAAAGTGAAGAGATTCCTACTGATGAGAGCGTGATCAGGAAAATATTAGAAAAGTGCAGAAATGAATAGGTTGCAATTAAAGAGAAGGAACAAACTGAATGTTATATGATATGGAAACTATTTTTCCCATACATATGAAAACTAGAAGCACAAGATTAGTGAAGTATAGAAAATATGTTAATAGAATTAAAACCATTAAAGTGAGGATTATTTATATTAATATTATGTATATCAGTATTATGTTAAGAGTAGAGAATTAATATTAATGTAAGGAACAAGGCTGTAAACTCTAATTGTTATGGCACAAGGTATTTGTACCCAGATGACACATTGTTTAATGGAAGATGGATTGTTTGTATTAAAATGATGATGATGATGATGATGATGATGATGATGACGACGACGACAATAACAACAACATTCAGGAACTAGGCTGATGACATTGTCCGTAAAAACTTAGACAACCATTTTCCTTCTTCCAAGAGCTGAATAGGCCCAGTGACAAAACAAGAACAAATCGAAACCGTATAAACTTCACCTTCTGTGATTATCCAGGCCATGGCACAAAGGCAACACAGTCAAATAAGCAATAAGAGACCCTTTATTATCTCCAACTTTGCCTCCAATATCCAGGTTACCTTCGGCTGGAGAAAAACTCTCCCAGGAACAGCCTTTAACTGTAGAAAATTCAGTCCAAACAAGGTACACACAAACTGTAACTAAAAATCCGCACAAACCACGCTGCAGTAATTAACTTGACAGGGCAGGAGAAGGAATTTCAGACTTGAAAGCCCAGCAAAATACACACAGTTGGGAAGACGCCAGAAACACAGATAAACCACGATGATACCAGATAAATTCACGATTTGCTCCCAACAATTTGCTGCACGCAGCTTGCCTTTTTAAACACTGTGTTCCCAGTTGCAGCTAATGAAGGGAATCAGGGCCCTTTCCTCCCTGGTAAGCCACGTAACTCACGTTGCTCCCTTCTCCATTCCTCCCTGTGTGCCCTAGGATGAAGAGGGGGGTGGGCCTGGATCTTCCTCTGAATTCCCTCTCTCTTGTTCTACCTTTTCCCTGTTCTGCCCAGCCAGACTTTGCCCTTCCTCAGTTTCTTCCACAGCCAATGGAGCCACACTCCCACTCCCTGTCACCTGCTCGGCCTCCCCCTCTGAATCAGATTCTGACAGGGGCATGATACTTCCTAGTCTCCACAGTGTAGAGAAATGAGGACTATGCCCCATAAAACAAAGCTATTTGGGAGCATGAGTGTGAGAGATACAGCTAGTCCTCGCCTTATGACCACAATTAAGCCCCAAAATTTCTGTTGTTAAGTGAGACATTGGTTCAGCGAGCTTCACCCCATTTTACAACCTTTCTTGCCACCACTGTGAAGCAAATTCACTGCAGTTGTTAAGTTAGTCACACGGTTGTTCAGTGAATCTGGCTTCCCCATTGACTTGGCTTGTCAGAAAGTTGCAAAAAGAAATCACATAACTTCGGGACATAAATATGGGTCAGTTGCCAAGCATCTGAATTTTGATCACCTAACCACGGGGCGCTGCAACGGTCATAAGTGTGAAAAACAGTTATAAGTCACTTTTTTTCAGTGCCATTGTAACTTTGAGCAGCCACTCAACGAAGTGATGTAAGTTGAGGATTATCTGTATTCTTACAACAAAATTTATTTTCATGCGATTTAACCTCCTTTCAGTGTCTAATTGGTGGAAGTCAGTCAAAGAGAATTAACTCTTTCTTTTCTAATGCTGTCAGGTCTAATGTAAGGGGATCACGGAGCACAAAGTAGCATTGTTATGATTTGCTCCATTGTTTGCAATGGATCTTAATATTCCCACCTAACGCATCCTAATTGAAAGCGATGTGTTCATTAAGCACTATGTACGATGACATATTCATGAGCATGGAAAACTAGCTGGTGAAATTCAGCCACCAGATGGCATTGTTTCTCCTAATAATTTGATTTAAAAAAAAAAAAAGCACGCCATATTTACAGTAACAGAAAATTAGAATATATATTATTATTTATACCAGCTGGTGTGAGACCTAACATGTTGAACAGCTGTTGGACCAATAATTACATACCCTTATGAGTGCTTAAAATCTGACTTATGCACTTTCTTTTTGTACAAGTTTGTGACATATAGTATGCAAGCCCATTTTTCTTCCAGATGAAGTAGAATTATAGGGCAAAAGGCAAAAACATTCACTTTTCCAGGGCTTCATATTGAGCAAGGATCTGAACCCAAATTCCAACTTGTTACCTTTCAAGGTATTTTTGAGTTATATCTCCCAACCAGAGGTGGTTCTGACCGGTTCTGGAGAACTGGGAGCAGAAATTTTGAGTAGTTTGGAGAAACGGCAAAAAAATTTTTTTGAATCTCACCACTGCTCTCAATGGCAAAAAATTGCCAATTGTTATATTAATTTAAAAAAAAAACTTTTTAACAACATTCACTTTTGAAAATATAAAAACTTCCTTAGCCAAACGTGGCAGGTAATTAGAGTTAGCTGTGAATAAATAGGACAATCTGATGATCAATGACCCCCCTCATCTTCCTCTTCAATCTACCTTTGGTGGTTTATTTTATTCCCAAACATTTAAGTGGGATGCAACTTAAATTAAACTTTATTTGAACAGTATCTAGGGTGACATTTAGCACTTTATAAATAGAGCTTAGTGCTTTACAGAAATCCGATTCTGCAGGTTTCAGTTTTTGAAGATTTTCTCTCTCTTTTTTTTTTACTTTTGGACCTAAAAAATAGTTGGGTTACGTATTGTTTCTTTGAAATGGTGTGCATAGCTAAAATACACAGTAATTGCATAGCTAAAAGTAGTGGTGAGATTCAATTTTTTTTACTACCGGTTCTGTGGGCGTGGCTTAGTGGGCATGGCATGACCTGGTGGGCGTAGCGTGGCTTGGTGGGCGTGGCTTGGTGAGCATGGCTTGGTGGGCATGGCAGGGGAAGGATACTATAAAAACTCCATTCCCTCCCCACCCCACTAACCTGCTTTCCAGCTCCATTCTTCTGTGCAGAGCAACCAAAGAAGACTCAGCCGATCAGCTGGGACTCGGGAGGCAGAGAATAGATGGGGTTGGCGGGGCCAGTCAGATGTGAGATTTGCCAGTTCTCTGAACTACTCAAGATTTCCGCTATATAAAGCCTTAGTAAGACCACACCTAAAGTATTGCATCCAATTTTGGTCACCACACTATAAAAAAGGATGTTGAGACTCTAGAAAAAGTGCAGAGAAGAGCAACCAAGATGATGAAGGGACTGGAAGCTAAAACATATGAAGAACGGTTGCAGGGACTGGGCATGGCTAGTCTAGTGAAGAGAAGGACCAGGGGAGATATGATAGAGGTCTTCCAATATTTGAGGAGCTGCCACAGAGAGGAGGGGGTCAAGCTATTTTCTGAAGCATCTGAAGGCCAGATAAGGAATAATGGATGGAAACTGATCAAGGAGAGATTCAACCTAGAAATGTGGAGAAATTTTCTGACAGTGAGAACAATCAACCAATGGAACAGAAGTTGCCTTCGGAAGTTGTGGGAGCTTCATCACTGGAAGCTTTTAAGAAGAGATTGGACTGCCATTTGTCAGAAATCTTGTAGGGTCTCCCGCTTGGGCGGGGGTTGGACTAGATCAGGGGTCCCCAACCACCGGTCCGCGGACCGGTACCGGTCCGTGGAACAGGTCCTACCGGGCCGCTGGCTTGCTGGGCGCCGCCATCTTTTTTTGATGAAAAAGTGCTTCTGGTGAGCTTTTCCGGGTAGAGGTCACCGGAAGCACTTTTTCATCAAAAAAAGATGGCGGCGCCCAGCTGATGCCGGTACCAGGCCGCAGCGTAAAAAAGGTTGGGGATCACTGGACTAGATGACCTACAAGGTGCCTTCCATCTCTGTTAATCTATTAATCTGTTAAATTGATGCAATCCTTCTGTTGATGCAACTGCGTTGGCTCTTTTGACAGATGAAGTATACACTTGTGCTACTATTCACTTACAAGCAGTGGAAGTAATTTCCCCTTCAGAGGTTTATTTAACTAACATCTAGTATCACTTTTCTAGTAGCACGCCCCTTCAATAGTACACTATGAATTGTAAATAAAACCTCTATTGTATTAAATTAACCCCTGCTGCATTATGGAACAGGGTGTTTGGAGAAAAAAAAACCCTGCACAATGCTTTATTAATTGTTAATCAGTGTTCTTGGACAATGGCAATAACCACAGCTCCTTCCTCATCTTGTCTGGCTGCCCACTTTTTCTTAAATAAAAAGAATCGGTTGCTTTTAACCTTATCCAAAATGTCAGATCCGGCGAACAATCTAAAACACAAAAGGGGCAATTTTACATCCTAGCAGAGAAGGCAGATTCTCTGAATGTGAATAGTTTTCAAACTATTCTCCGGGAATCCAGTCTGTATTGTAAAATCACAATGCTTTTAAAATCTAAAATGTGATTAGAAAATTGTGAGAAATGAGATAGGTTCAAACATGTTGGCAAAACCAGCAATTAGGAGCAAATGGAATGTCTGCATAAAAAAGGAACTGCCAAACAGAAACAAAGATAATGACATTCCTTCTCTTAGGAGTAAAAGCATAGGGAACATTTTATGGTTGCAAATTAAAATAAATAAATAAATAAATAAATAACCATTTTCAACGAATTGAATGAGGAGCATTTATTGTAATTGCCCTGGATGTGATATTTCTACTGAAAGTTCAAAAGACAAGGTAGTTTTTCAACTTTATAGAGAGAATTGTTTCATGGAACTGTCTGCCTGAAACATCTTGGAATAGAACAGAAATTTGTAGCTCAGGATTGAAGTAACGGGGTCCTTCATGCTCTCTGAGCTTGGTGGGTTTTCTTGCAGGCGTTTCATTACCCAACTAGGTGATATCATCAGTGGTAGAAGGGAGTGGGGTTTGTGGAGAGGAGGAGGAGGACTGTGGAATCCTTGGTTCTCTCTGAGCTTGGTGGTTTTCTTGCAGATGTTTCATTACCCAACTAGGCAACATTATCAGTGCTAGAAGGGAGTGGGGTTTGTGGAGAGGAGGAGGAGGAGGAGGAGGAGAAGGAGGAAGAATGGACTGTGGGACCCTTTGTTGTCTCCAATTTTGGTGGTTTTCTTGCAGATTTTTCATTACCCAACTGGGTAACATCACCAGTGCTTTGATGAGTGGGCCAGCATTGATAGTATGGTATGGTATGGTATGGTATGGCATGGTGTATGGTACGGTACGGTACGGTACAGTACAGTACAGTATAGTATATGTTGTGGTTCGCCGGCAGCTGGTGCAGCTGGCAGTGGAGTCAGATAGTGAGGAAGAAAGGACACCAGTCAGGGAGTCTGGAGACGACTCGGATGAGGGTCTTGCATCTGATGCAGAGATATGGCCAGGACCATCTGGGAGTGGTGTGCTGACTCTGAAGCCTCCGGAGTCTGGTAGTAGCAAAGCAGAGGACTCAGGGGAGCCTGTTCCCAGTGCAAGCTGCTAGAAGGCGAGAACAGCTGAAACAGAAGGGGCGACTCAGGAGTAAGGCTGGGAGGTGATGGCCCCTCCCATAAGGGATAAAAGTCAGGCCAAGATGTCAAAACCTTTGCAGGAAGCAAAGTAGTTCAATAGATTCCAAGTCCTCCTTGAAGCTCTGTATACTCTGGTTGTTGTTTTTTTCTGGTACTTCGGTTGGTTTCTGTTATCATTAATTGGATACTTCTGTTTCTGGCAGCATTCCACAGCACTGAAAGGTGTGTGCTTATCTTAGGGAACTGTTTAAGATTAGTTCTGGCTGGAATGAAAGCAATTCCCAGTGTTGCAATAAAATAGATTTTGCTTTTAAAAGAAGTTTGTGTTTAATTACGTTTGATGAAGCCTGGGTCAGAACAGTATAGTGTAGTATAGCATAGCATAGCATAATATAATAATAAAATGAAATAATATAATAACAACATTACATAACAATATATATATGATATAATAATAATAATAATAATAATAATAATAATAATAATAATAATAATAAAAAAATAATATAATAATATGATACAATATGATGTAATGTAATGAAATAATAAAATAAAACAAATGAACAAACATTTTAGGCTAGCATTATTTCTGAGATGTCATTCTAAACATGAATGCATCAGATGTTTTAGACAAATCACTTCTTAACCCAATCTGTCCATCTTCGGATCTGCGATGTAGAAAGGATGATGATGATGATGAAACATTATATGAAACATTCAGATGCATCTCTGGAATCTGCCTCACAACAACAACTAAATCTCTTAGGAGATCTTATGTTAAATTATGCATCCTTAAGAAAAGGCCACCACTCCATTTTAAAAAAAAAACTAGATTCATTAAGTAAAACTTTATTTTATACCCACAACAAAACATGGACCTGCTGAAGTTTTCAGGCAATCTTCTAAGAGCCTCATACGAGTCTTTTGGAGGTCTGGGCCATCCCATTCTTCTGGCTCCACTCCCCAGTACAGATCAATCACCTAGAAAGCCAACAAATAATATTACAATAGTTATTGTTATTTGTATTACTCACAAATAACAATTCAGGCTGTAACTCAACATTTTGAAACACACACACACACACACTAATGGCAATAGTTTTAAGGACTGGGATTTTCACTTCATGTATTTATGGACATTAGTAAAGGATCAGTTCTGTGAACACTTAGGGCCACATCTAAATGGGAGTTTTATAATTATTAATACTCATGGCTAATGGGAGAACCTTGAACTCCAAGTGTTACTATTTCCAAAACAAGCTTAATTAGGAGGGGAGAAAGAGGAGAGAGAAACAATGCAACAGGCTTTAAGAATAACTTACAAATTTGCCTGCCTGCCTGCCTGCCTGCCTGCCTGCCTGCCTGCCTGCCTGCCT